AATATTCATGTAATAATCTCATAATATTTAGATTTATTATGTTATTAATTTTATTATAATATATAAGTTAATATATTTAAGATTATATACCTTTCACATAAGCAAAGCTGAACGATCGAATCAATCCCGGGCCTACCTCCCAAAGGAGACAGTATTCCCAATCGAACGATAAATACAAAATTTCGAAAATATCGGTTCCGCGTGTAGTTCCCGTAGTTTGGTGAGAACCAAATTTAATGTAATTCAACCCAATGATAAATAGATTCTATTTTTAGATTGGTCCCTAACCCAATTCCAGCATGAAAAAGTGTTTCCAATGGTAAATTTGGGCCCAAAGCTACTACTGTACCAATTTCTTTGTAAATCTTCTTGTAAATGATACAAATTTTTCGAATGAATTGGTTCGGGGTCCATTTCCTGAAAAAAGTGCTCTTATAACAATTTACGAAAATTTGTGGACAATCTAACGATTTAAAAATCAATTTGAGCACAAAACAGATCAATCCCAGGTCCATTTTGGGGAAAACCCCCTCTTTATGGGGGCATACGTAGTAGGCAGAAAACACTCTCCAAATTTCAAATCTCTAGAATCTGTGGTTTAGGCTGTGGGTTGATCCATCAGTCATTTAGGACGAAGCCATATATATATATATATATAGATATGCATATAGGTAAGACTAAGCAAGGCAAGCGCTGAGCTGTACATAGCATGAATAAGATAATAGGAAAAATGTTGATCACATAGCTCAGTAGTGTTTGAGCGCAATTGGACAACAGCAAAGAGAAAATACGAATATTCTATAGAGGCGAAAACGCAAGTCAGGCAGCAGTTTGTGGTACTGCCTTTTAGTACTGACATTGTCAGTCAATCACACCCAATTCAGGTTTCGTCTATTTCGATGTGCAAATAATCCCCGGCGTGGAAAGCTAATCGTCGATCAAATAATGAAAACCGTCGAGCTTGACCATCATGCTAGCACTGTTTCGATTACCCAGGTAGTAAACATACTCAAAAAATTGCTTGGAACCACTTGAAAACGTTTGGATACACAAAGACGTTCGATGTAAGGGTGTCACATGAGTTAACAAGGAAAGACCTCTTGAGCTGAATTTACATATGCGAGTCGCCGCTGAATCGTAACAAAATCGATCCATTTCTGTAGCGGATGGTATCTAGCGATGAAAAATGGATTATTTAATCGGCAAAAACAGTATTAAAGCTAAGATTGACGACCAGAAAGGTTTTGTTGTGTATTTGGTACAAATGGTAACGAATCATCCACTATTAGGTGCCTCGCACTACGGCCAAACTCTCAATTCGGATCTATACTGTAAGCAACTGTACCGTTTGAAAAGGTCAATCGCCCAGGAGTGCTCAATTTTGACCAACAGTAGGAGAATTACGTTACAGTAGGACAACGTCAGAGGAAACACATCGACAGTGGCTCGCCAGAAGTTCCGAGAGCTTTTCCGAGAGTTTCTTATGCATTCACCTTATAGCTCGGACCTCATACCAAGAGATTACTATTTATGCCTTTCTATGGCGAATGATTTGGCTAGTGAAGAATTAACGTTAAGAGAAAATAGACTGTCGATATAAATCAGATAACTCCGACTATGGTGAATAAAACATTCACATTAATGCAAAAATAATTGATTATTTTTACCTACTATTTCTTTGAACCACATATAGATCTTTGGCAGAGTTAATAGCAATGTACCATTCTTGCAGGGAAGGAGAGTCGAATTTGCCGTAAATGGTTTCATAGAAAGTAAATAGACGGAACAATTGATATTTATATTTTATTTAATTCTTAGTGGCTACCGCTATAAAAGATGAAGTTACTGTAAGAGTAGTTGAGTATGAAGTAGTCTGAATTCGAATTCAATCAACTAGTACTTTCGCATACTAGCTTTTAACTGTTCATCACAGCTTACTACTTACTACTCACATACATTCTTTCTCTGGCTCATGGCTTTACTTTATAGCTGCCCAACAATTACATGGAATGCAATAGTTTGCATAGTCTGCGTGATATACGAGTCACTTACATGAAGCTGAATATATGAATATGATATTTTGTTTATACACATACTCTTAGGTAATCGTACACTATATGGTCATATGCTCTTAGAGATGTTTACTTGTTTTTGTCGAAACTATCCGAATTCAAGCGATATAACTCAGAATATTTGTTGTCAGTTGTTAAGTGTTTGGTGGTTAGAAAGGCCTCTTTAGTCTCTTTTTCAATATATTGTTTTTATTTACGTAGACCGATTTTCTTAAATGCTTGGATTTGGACCAGCTTTTGGCAGGAAAAAGAGCTTTACTGCTGATAGACTTTGAAATGACATAAAACCTTTATAAATCCTTATACTAGAACCTACAAATTTTCTAATATATGTGGAGTAGACATAATGACATTTTCATAAGAGTGTTTTATATAAAACTGAATCCGTAGAGAACCGTATGGTATACATTCATTGGGGGATACTTGCTATCATTCGAAATCTACGAGTCAATTTTCATGACTCTGAGTATTTAACTAAAGGATTATTCTTAACTTGAAAATAACAAGTTCGTATGAGCAACATTTAAACAGCACGGTAGAACAAAAAAAAGCTCATACGACATGGCGACCTTTTTTTCAGTATAAATGTTAGTGCTTCCTTATTAGTGAATAGTACTGGGAGAATACGAGTTTAGATTTTGAACTTTATTTCCACCAGCGACCTAATTTAAAATATCCAGGTTATGATATCTCACCGTTTGTCAAGATACTTGTGACCATGTCTAAGCGAATTTACTCAAAAGTACCTGGAATGTTTTTTAACCAACATAAATAAACTATTTTAAAGCTTAAAGAACTTTCGTGGTTTAGTTCTTCTACAGTAAGAATAAGCTCCGAATCTAAAAACTCCATTCACCACCCGCTTACCTCAAGTAACTACAGAAAACTTCCGTCACTCTAATAATAATATATTTAACGACACGCATCACTGCTTGGACTTGTGCGTATATTTTGCATGAATTCATTTTGTTTTCATTGTTTGCCTTTAGCGATATGCAAAAGTTATTGCATAAGCATTTCGCCAAACAGACTATAATCGTAAAGCTTTACTAGCAAATTGCTTTTTGCCGCAGATGAAAATGCAGATGCATTTGCTGAAATATACCGTCAATCTTAAAACGTTGCACATTGTACTAGTACCTGCAAGAACTTCAAAAGTGAAAATAGCATGGCCGCGCAGCAATTTGATGATGTTGGTGATGGCGATAAACATTACACTCTCAGTATATTTTGAACATTTTCTGGCAGTTGCGTTTGTTTGTTCTTTCGCATCATATGCCCACAGTTTATTATCTTTGGAATATGTGCAAATTTAGTTGTATGTTTTTCGCATAAATTTGACATAAAATAAAATTGGATTATCAGCGTTCGGTGTTCGTTGTTCCACGATTGCAGTTTTAAATTGGATTATAAACCTGAAGGTCCAATGGGATTTCTCTTCTGTGGTGAGCAAACGTGTAAGTGCAATTTATCACCGTAGTGGTTTTGTGGCATGCATACAAAACATGGTGGAAATGATTGTAATGAAAGTTTAATATTCTATAAGCTGGCAAGTGGTAAAAAAACAAAACAATCTTTATGAGAGCTAAAATACTCAATGGTGAAAATTCTTTAAAGGGAAAAAAATTTACTATATATTATATTTTAAATTAATTTAATCTTATTCTATATTATTCAACTTTGTCTAGTTTACTTCATTTTGTTTGTTTTGTTTAAACAAGTTCAATTTAGTTTTTTTAATTTATTAAATTGACTTCTTTAACAGATTTTATTTTTTCAATTTATTTCAATTTTTTTATTTAATTTGTTTTATTATGTTTTTTTTTAATAAATTTTTTATATTTTATTTTAGTTCAAACTTTTTAGTTCATTTTATTTTATAATATTTTAATTGAGTATTATTTTATTTTGTTTTACTTTATATCAATTTAAATAATTTTATTTTATTTTAATTTTTAATATTTTATTTTAATTAAAATATATTATTTTATTTTAATTTATTTATTTTTGTTTATTTCATCTTATTTTATATTTTGAATTTTTCATTTTATTTTATTATATTTTAATTTATTTATTTTATAATATATTATATATATTATATTGTTTGGTTATTTCTTATTATATTTTATTTTATTTTATTTTAATTTATCATATTTTATTCTATAATTTGGTTTAATTTATGTTTACTTTGTTTTATCTTTTTTTTATTTTGTATTAATTAATTTTTTTTATGTTTTTCATTCTTAGTTTACTTTAATTCATCTATATTTGTTATTGTTATTCACACTTATTATATTGTATTCGATTTCTTTTATTTCATCTTGTTTTAGGTTATATTATTTTAATTTTTCGTTCATTATTATATTTAATTTAATTTAAGTTACATTTATTTGATTTTTTTAAATTTTAGTTGCTTTTGAATTTTTTTTATTTTTTAATTAATTAATTTATTTTATTTTGTTTTAATATATTTGATTTTACGTTACTTAATTTTATTTTATTATATCTTTTAATTTTCTTTTATTCTATTTTATTATATAATATTTCTTTTTAGTTTATTTCATATTATATTATTTTTGTCATTTCATTTTATCTTGCTTTTATTAGTTAGATTTTTTTTAAATTTATTATATTTAAATTTAATTTATAATATAGTTTAATTTATGTTTACTTTGTTTTATTTTGTCTAATTTTATTTAATTTTGATTATAATTTTAATTTTTTTATGTAATGCTTTTTTATTATATTTATTTAATTGTATTATTTACATTTTAAATTTTTTAATTATTTTATTTTATTAATTTTTATGTTATTTTCTTTTCTCTATTTTCAGCTAGTTAACATTCCTCTTATAGAAACATTAAAAATTAGATATTTTCTTACTTACAATATTTATTAAATGAACTACTCTTCAAATTCTATTTCTAGATATATTTACTGCAACCCCAGCTGTGACCATCACATGTATCCGAGCTTATTTTATTGAGACAAGTAAATTGAAATTATATATGAATATGAATTAAAAAGTGCAAAACTGATGAGGAAGCTACGTTTACAAGCGTCTGAGCAAAGCTGTTTATTTATCTAAACTCTCTGGCTCGAATAAAATGTTGCTTGCATGAATACAGCCAATTTGAATATTCGCAAGAAGAAAGGAAGTACATTTAGAAAAATAGGAATCAAAGAAGATTGATAATTTCTCAGAAACACAAAGCTTCACAGCTACTAATAACAGCTTAATAACCTATTGCGTAACACGCAGAGCAGCAGACATCGGCCTATGTGTAAAAAGCAGCAATTTTCCAAGTTACAAACGGCAACAAAGACTTACTCAGCTGGGCTCAGCTATCGAAAATCAACATACAAAATACAAAAGCTGAACAACGGCAACAACAACAAAACAAACGAACACTCCTCTACCATAGCGAGGAAATGAGGACACGACCATCAATTATCTGCTTAGCATCAGGTGTAAGGGATAAAAGTAAACCGGCAAAATAGCCGAGCAGACATTGATCCACAGATAATAGGACACTCTACAGGTTGCAGCCTGTGGGCGAGAAGCAAAAACGAATAAAGGAGCTAAGTAAGCTGTTTCGAAAAATTTGTTGTAGGCTGGGTGTGAATTGGATTATATTATAAAATAAAGCGTTTGTGTGTGTCTTTGTATATGGAAAGTGCCGGAAGCATTAGAGCGTTAAGCGCCGCAAATTATACTCCCACAAATGTCCAAAACTTGAAGAGCATTAAATGTCGAACATGTAAAATATTGTCCACTTAAGGAAATTTCGACAGCCGATCAAAAATCAATTTCCACAACAAAACACGCAGCTTAACTAACAAAAATATATAAACATATCTAACAGCCACTAGAATAGTGACAGCAGCTCTTCAGTAGTTCCTTAGTGGCATGTGAATGGAGCGACCGTTGAACCGTTTGTGTTGGTGCCCGTGACTTCCTGCAAACGATTTCATGTTCGAAGTGCAACAATATCTTAATTACCCTCTACAAAATGACAGATGTTTCAGCGAAGACAACAACAACATCCCCAGCAGCATCAGCAGCCACATCTCCACTCGCTACGACATCGTCGCCAATTGGCTCACTGCCCAATAGCAAAGTTGCCTCTATCGATGAGCCGGCTGCCAGCGTAAATAAATCCTTTACAAATGGCGATGGTCATGCGCCGCCACTTATAACCAAGACCGAGCAGCAATTGAAGCGCAATAACAATGAGTCAACAGACACGGGTGCCGGCAATATGTCAACCACCATGACCAGCAATCGCTCTTCATGCGATTCTTCTACAGTTCAGTCACCCACAAATGTTGGGGCAACGACGCGTAGCCGCATGCACTCTACCGACAATGGCGCCATTCCAGCTACTGCGTCTAGCTCGGCGAATAATTCGATTTCCGCTTGCGATATGACAACATTAATGCATTCCTCAAATAGTAGTGCGGCCAATACGGCGCTTAATTCACCGGTAAGCTGCAGCAGTCCTGCTGGGTTATTCGTAGGAGGCGGCACGACGACGGTACCTACAGCAGGAAATAGTAATGGTGGCAGCAAGGTAGGCCGACGGGAGGCGACACAGCAAGATGTGGACGAAGTTGCGCGTTTATTTGAGGAAAAACCGGAAGCATTCGAAAAATGGTTGATGGAGCGAGCGCCGCCCGAGGCATTAGCGCGTTTGCATGAGTTTATTGATTCAAGAAAGCCACCAAAGCGGCCATCAGTGACATCTGATCTCTTTCAACAATGGATGGCAGCATCGCCGGTGCAGGTGAGTGGTCAATAAGTACTGGCTAATTGGTTGGCTGAAGTTCGGTTTATGCAAGTTCATTGAAGAGTTAGTTAACATCGTTGTGTTACTCTAAGCTCGATGGAAATTATTGGTTAAACTAGTGTAGGTTCGCCTTTGGCCGAACCTGGCTGAATGTAGTAAATAACCGAGATTTGTTTTCCTGTCAAAGTTCAGATGTAGAAGATGATGAAGTATGTGGATTTTCTTCTTCTTATTTTTCTCCTTTACTAGCGTAGACATCGGATACGCGATTATAGCCAAGTTAACAACGTTACGCCATTTAATTAATTTTTTTTTGCTTTTTGCCGCCAGTTGGAAATGCCAAGTATAACTACTTCTTTCTCTATCTGGTCTCTCCAACGGAAAAGAGACATTCCTCTTCCTATGCTTCGAAAACTTTTAAAGCTGGAGTACTCTTTTCATCCCGGATCACATGAACTAGACAGCATATGAACTATGTCAACGTCGCCGTATACCTCGCACTCTGTTCCAATGGCTAGGCTACTCGCCATTTCCAACTCGTAGGAGACCATACACCTTAAGCAAAACCTTTTCTCGAAAGCTTCTAGCGCCGATGCTGCCATTGTCCATGACTCCAATCACTACTAGGACCCTTTGCTTCGCTTTCTTATCCATTCTGGAGAAAGCAGAACTAACGGCGCAGTTGCTGAGGTCTGTGACATCAATATCATCGACATACGCCAATAGTTGTACACTCTTGAAACAAATTATGCCATGTCTATTAAGCTCTGCAGATCTTATAGTTTTCTGCAGTAGAAGAAATCACATGATACAAATTTACTCTATCAACTTCGTTTGATATCGAACCAGGTCGGAAAAGTCCCCTCCGACTTCAACTGCGCTTCAGGTATAGTCCAACGTCAATTTCACCACGGTAAAAGTTCTCCAGAGAATCCAAATTCAGACATTGCGGCATAGAGTCAGATCCTTACTATCGACTATGGTCGATGAAAACACGATACGTATTGGTTCTTATTTCACATCTGTCGGTAAGCTCTCGGCTCTAGTCGCTTTGTTGTGCTTTAAGCGAGCAATCGCTGTTCGAACCTCGTCATGGTTCCCTCGTCATTATTTGGGATTTCAGGTTCGCTATCTCCGGGTGTTCCATTTTCACTGTCAGTCAGCAGGTTGGGAAGTGTTTCCTCCATAACGAGTTCTAACTATTCCACTATTGTTAATTATAGTCGTTTATGTGCTGGTGCATATGGCCTTGTAGACGGTTGACGGTTGACCTTTACATACACTTCCGCTCTGCAAATTCACTTAATTACTCATCTTCCTTTTTTAGCTTGACTCGATTTCGATTGAATTACCATCGCTGCACTCTTTCATTACGCGTTAATTACTGATTTACACAACCGGCGGAGCTCAGCGCTACAACTGGGTGCATCAGCCATTTACGCTCTGCAATTAAGTGTTCTCATTAATTTCCATTAAAACTGCACTATTGAAAGTAAGTAATGATGAAAAGCCGGTAAGGAAAGTCATTATTTGCAGCGCCTCAGCAGTTATTTTACAATAAAATGTGTGCAATATGCGCAACAGTCACTTGACTACAACAACAATGAACTTAATACCTGCCACATTCAGTCAGCTCATATTAACTGAATGCGCTTACATATGTATAAACAACCATGCCTCATCAAACTTCACCGAAAGTAGTAGCTTAAAAATGTTTTTGTTTTTCTTCAACGCTCTCTCTCTCTCCTCTCCTTTTCTCTACTCTCTTTGTGCCAACTGATGCTTGCGCTTGTACTTGTTGTAGTACATACTTTCGTCCTTCAAAAATGTATATCTGGCTTTCCATAAGTGTTGCCATAAAGTTATGTATGTTCGACAGCCATTCACTCAGTCAGGCAGCCAGCTGTTGATTTTCTCCGCTGGTTGTACTGTTGTATGCGTTGTTGTGTTGTTTAATGTGGTTGTTGGTTGGCTGATGGCCTTTTCCTTTTACAGCGCATTTGAGAAATGTTTGCCACTGCATTTTATATGGGCTGTGTGTATGGTTGTAGTTTAGGTACAAATTGTACACGTGATCCATCAAGTTATTTCATAAATTTTATCGTATGTACTTTTGTGTAATATTGCTTATAAAGTTATCGCCCCGGTTATGGGTAGTTTTAAATTAAAACATCTGCTAGTCGGCGTGTTAACATTTCAAAAAGAAATAAAAGTTTGTGTGTATTCAGCCGGTTGCTACTTGATATTAATGTTGGGTAATATATTTTTTTTTTTTGTGGAAAGTAAGTCTTACTTTTTGAAGAGAATGTAGCTCCCCTGCAAGGGAAAATACTAGTCGTCAACTAGAAATCAACTAGTGTACATTTTTACCCCAAATATTGGATGAGTGCATAAGTTCGTGCCCGATTCTGCTGTATACCGTTCAAATCGTTTGAGAGTGGCGCTCGAGAAAGAAATATATACATTTTGTATATCGTTGGAAAGGTGACAGTCCGAGCTGTAAATCAAGCATAAAGTAACTTCATTTTAATTTGAGTTGCTTAGTGAAAAAATGCATGGAAGATGGACAACGAAAAAGATCATATGCGTCATATTATGTTATACGAATTCCGGAAAGGAAAAACAGTAGGCGCTGCAACTAAAGATATTCGCGAAGTTTATTTGGACCGTGCTCCAGCACTCCGCACAGTAAAGAAATGGTTCGCGAAATTTCGTTCTGGAGATTTTAACCTCGAAGATCAACCTCGCAGTGGACGGCCTTCTGAGCTTGATGACGATGTTCTAAGGACTTTAGTTGCGAATAACTCACGTATTTCGACGGAAGAGGTTGCCAGTGAATTGAACGTCAACAAATCAACTGCGTTTCGTCGTTTAAAAAAGGTTGGGTACACTTTGAAGCTCGATACATGGGTGCCACATCAGTTGAGTGAAAAAAACAAAGTGGACCGTATGTCAACAGCAATTTCTTTGCTTCGACGGATCAAAAACGAACCTTTTTTGGATCGGCTCGTGACTGGTGATGAAAAATGGATCCTGTACAACAATGTTCAACGCAAAAGAACATGGAAACAGGCACACGAAGGGGCGGAACCGATGTCGAAAGGTGGATTGCATCCGATGAAGGTACTGCTGTGCATTTGGTGGGATATCCGAGGCGTGATCTATTTTGAGCTCTTGCCAGCTGGAGAAACGATCACTGCCAACAAGTATTGTCAGCAATTGGTCGAATTGAAGAAAGCAATTGATGAAAAACGTCCGATTTTGGCCAATCGCAAAGGAGTTCTTTTCCATCATGACAACGCCAGGCCACATGTTGCAAAACCGACCCTGGCCAAACTGAAGGAGATGAATTGGGAAATCATGCCGCATCCCCCATATTCACCCGACATTGCACCTTCTGATTATCATTTGTTTCGATCGCTGCAGAACAATTTGAATGGAAAAAAATTTAAAAATGTGGAAGACGTCAAAAACCACCTTGACACCTTTTTCAACGAGAAACCGCGCGATTTCTATGAATCAGGCATCCGTAAATTGGTTGAACGTTGGGATTGGATTGCCGAACATGATGGCGAATACATAATTGATTAATAAAAACGCTTTCTTCAAAAAATTTCAATTTTAGTTTGCACTTGAAATCGGGCACGAACTTATGCACTCATCCTAGTTCATCTTCATCCATTTTCCATGTAGCAACTGGTATTTTTAACACGGCAATGTCCTACGAGCTGACAATTGTCCTAATATGCATCAGCTTCATACTAGCTTACTACTAGTTCATTTAGGTATGTTGAATTTCTACTTCACCAAAAAAATCTAAATCCAATAAAACTCAGTTCGCCGGCTGCGATAATCCAATCCCTCATGCACCACAATGAAGCCCTCTAACCTCTAGACTATCTTTATGATATATGGAGGAAGCATATCTGCGCACTTCAACAGGAATTTTTAGGAAATAAAACACAGCCGTGTCATACCAAAAACATAAACAACATAGAAATGATGTGGAGGTGAAAATTTCTGTTTCACCAAAAATTAAAAGAAAATTAAAATTAAAAATTTCTGATTCATGAAAAATTAAAAAAAATAAATTAAAATTAAAATACTCTATTTCACCAAATATTAAAGCAAAAATAAAACTGAAAAATTAATTTGTCTATAGCGGCACTCGAACCGAGCGCTACCGCGATAACCTCTCGATCGAAGCAACGATCTGTGTCATTTTGCGCACTTCAATAGAACAGAGCAGAGAAAGGAATTCAGCCGCGGTCTGCCGATATGAAAACAACAAACTGTGGTGGAAATTGTTATTTCTCCCGTTATTGGTCGTCTTTTATACAAATAACGAACTGGTATAATTTCATCTTCAGCATACTAGTATGTAAGCCAACTTTAAATTGAGGCTTCCGGCAAATAATCGGGACTCATTGGTGGGTGATTCCATGTTACCACGTTATTATAGATGTGAAAAACTCTCGCGAGGTTGCAGATCGGGTGCTGTCCTGCATAGCGATTGACCGATTTCCGAGACGTTTACTCATAAGAAGTATATGTGTACTTTTCGCTATTTGACGTTTTATTAATGACTACACTGCCATTACAAGGCTGTGAAAACTGAAGTCGTATAATACCAGAAGCGCAGTCAGATTTGGTATTGACCTTACTGAACCTTTCGGTGCCAAGAAAAATTTCAGATAGGGTGAGTCTTTATCAAGTGCTTTCTCCTATGTATTTGATGTCAAAGGGATCTCCAGATTCGATAAGGAAGTAACGCATATTGGGCTGACAATGAACGAGGACACGACGAAATATCTTCTATCATCAAACAACTAGTCGACGCGGCTGCGTCTGGGCTCCTACGTACCTGTTGAAAGTCATAACTTCAGTTCGTAGATAATTTCGGCAATCTAGGAACTAACATTACCATCAATAATAATACTGGTGGTTGATAGGTGCCATCTTAAACTCAGTCGACAACAAGTAAAGTCCTCTATCGACGAACCAATACCAAACACAACACGCCTTGATTGTCTTCGGGAGAAAAGTTTTGTAACAACGAATACCATTGACGATGAAGCGATGAACTGTATGAGTTATACGATGCCATTGACATAACTCAGCGGGTAAAGAATGCTGGGTCATTCCGTCGATTGGATGAAAGCAATTCTGCTTTGAAAGTATTCGATGCAGTAGCCGTCGGCGTAAGTGGAAGAAGACAAGCTGGAAAGACCAGGTGGAGAGCAAGCTGGCAAAGAGAATGAATAGTTATTTCTACGCCAATGAAGAAGTCGCATACAAATTTTAAATTCGATATTATAGTTATGAAAACCTGCTTGCAGATTGCTCATTAATTTAGTTCATTTTCAAATTAAGGCATAAATTTGTTTAAATAAATATAAATTTTTTTAAAAATAAAACTTCAAATTATTTTTATAGAATTTTTTTTAATTCGAAATTCTTTAAAGCTTACAGGTAATATCCAAATCAAGAAAAATTAAAAATATTTTGGGCTTAATAATTTAGCCAATTTTATTCAATTTAATTTTATTATTTTCCAAATTAATTTTTTAAACTAAATTAAATAAATTATTTACTGTATAGTCATAGTAGATAAGGGAGGGGAAATATATTGCAGTCTATTGAAAATATTTGTTCGTACATATGTTGTTTATTTAAATACGAAATATTTAAACGAATTAGTCTCTTATCAGTAATTTATTTCGACGAGACGACAAGAAACCATACTACAATCCAATGTGTGGCTAATAATAACGTTGTATTTAAGTGTTTTGAATTATATTTTTAGTAAGAAAAATTATTGATAATGCATTAAAAAACGCGCAAGATTTTGACAGTGACAGTGAGGTCACTCATACGACGTGTCGTACCATTGAAAAGGTGCGTAAACAACAAGGAAAATCAAATTTCTATTGTAAAAAAGTATTAATGAAAGAAAGTGCACATTTATTTACATAATAACTAGGGGACTCCGGCCATACGTTGTTGATACTTTATGTATTGCGTTCAATTTAGTTTAGGCAAATGTTATTATAAAAAGGTTGGCAGGCAACGAATAAAGAAAAGTCCCAATTAAACTTCAACTAATACAAATTATTAATTTACCTATTATATTGTTGATCTAACTACGTATATATGTTTATACATAAGCGCCATCAAAGTTTGAATCTCTAATATTATACCGCCTAAATTGTTATTACCTACTCATAGAGATGCGGATTCAATATATGCAGAGATTAGTCGCTTTTTCGCTTCGTTTATCGAGAAAATTAATATAAATATGAATAACTAATAATATATTCATTGAATTCATCTTAAAATGTCTTTTTATTAAAAACTAGTTGGAAGTTTTATAATCAAATATGTATCCTGGGAAGAGGGGCTCCCTATTTTAAAAAAATCGTATTTATAGTTAGATCTACTTTTGGCTTTTTGCTTAGATTAGCAGGAGGGCTTTTCTTCTTTCAGGGAAGTGGACTAAGGACCGAGCTAATTGATTGTGCCACTTTACTTCAAATTCGTTACGTAAGTGGCTTTCAGTTTATACTAACAAAAATCTTACTTTTCTCTCTTATCTGGACCAGAGACGGACTTTATCGAAAAAATCGTCTTTATAGTTCATTTTACTTGAAACTAATTTTTGCGGTAAATGGATCGATCTATTTGAAAAAGTATAGGGCCTATATATACAGGGCCTAGAACCTGTCCGAAACACAAGTAATACCTCTTTTACGGGAAAGGGCTTACCGTCAGATTGACCAAAATTTGTGTGACTTATATATAAGCATAGATCCTGTGGAGGTTGAAATGTTGAAATGTTATAATTCAGCGACGACCGGTTAGAAGCTATTCTTATACGTAAAAATTGGGTGTCAATCCTAAGAGTGGATCTGACGTACTTTGAGACATTCAAGTTGGCAATTTTGTGAAAGACATTGGGCAGCGAAGGAGTGACCTACACTTTATAGCCGCTGAAGCGATTTTTGCCTGAGCTTCTTATCAAATTTATCGTATCTCATTTTAATATTAAATATTAATTTTAATATCTGAAAAGTTGGTTCAAGGTGGCTATATGAAGCTACAACTGTATAGCAACAGACTTTATATTCTTTTATGATATTTTGTAGGGAAGGCCCGGGTTCAAGTTTTGGTATGAGCAGCATCCAAAAGTTATAGAAAATTAATTTAAATCGGTAGGGACTGCCAATCTAGATCAAGACGCAAAACCACAAATTGGAAGAGAATCTCGACCGAAAATCGCTCAAGCGGTCACAAAGCACCCATTACATTACTTTACATTATATCCATTTCTTCTAGTACTTACACACAGATCAAAGTTAGTGTGCCATTTCATCTGAGTTAAAGGTTTAAAAACTTAATATTTTGATGATATATATATGATGCTTAATTAGGGTTTTTAATGTGCTTTGCAAAAGAAAATTAAACTAAAAATGGGATACAATAAGAAAATTGGGCAACATTGTATTGCCGGTTTTGATATTATATTAATAAAAATATATTTTATGACCTTCAATATACTGATCCAAGAAGTTTTAGCGGTAATTTAATTAACTTTTTTAGCATAAAATCTGTCCTTATTTATAATTCATTGAATGCATCCTTGAGTATGGACGATAATTGTATTGAGTTTCAAAAGGCATGCATTTATTAATAAATTCTTAGTAGCGCATTTCCCTATTCTCTTGGCGTAGTAAGTATTTGAAACATTCGCGCTAAAGAAAAATGAATCATACCTACATACATATTATAAACAGTAAATCAATAACAAAAATAACCACATTTCCTGCACAAAGAGTACAAACATATTTTTCTATGCCATAAAACTTTTGCAAAGTTCAAAACAAGTGCAATACGGAGCAACAACAATTTCCTGGTGACAATATTCATATATTTGTATTACTCACACCGCAAAAATACTGACAGCTCATCAATAATAGATGAAGTTGGAAACATGTGAAATTGCGCGCAATGAATGTTGGCTAAAAGTTCTATGAAGTTTCCCATCCCGAAAGCGAGGTCACGTGTCTGCTGCTGATTGTTTTCAATGCAATGCCAATAAATGTCAGAAATAGGAATAATAAAATATAAAAAATTTGAGAGTACATATAAATAAAATATATGTACTTCATCATTAAACATATTATTTTTCCATGACACAATAACTCAAAGGTTGTGTCATTCTCTCCTTGCCGTCGACTCTGTTCTGACATTAAACGTATTTCGTGTTTATTGTGCTACCTTCTTCCCTTAAACAAATATAATTTTTGTAATATTTTTTAAATGTCTAAATGCCGAAAAATCCGGAATTATATTATATTTACCTAGAATTATTAGAGGATTTCATCGACTAAATGCTTTTCATGATTGGCGTATTAAAACTTAAGTGAGTTGTAAGAAATTTTCAGAAGGAAGAAAGAAGATTGTTTATTAGCTTTAGAGATATTTCAAGAAAATTTTGCAACACTTTTAAATTTATTCTAACCGCTAAATATATTGAGATCTCTGAAGGTCATACTAGAACGTGACTATTTGACATGCTTCGATAATTGGAAAAAGTGTTGGCATAAGTGCATTGCATCGGCAGTGGACTATTTTGAAGGTGACAAAGCCGAGGTAGAAGAATAAATAAAGATTTTTAATTTTACAAACAAATTCACCTGACTTTTTGCTATGTTGGTGCTGTGAAGGAGATTCTTCTCACCTTTTCTAAACGCTCAAATCACTTGGTGTATTTGAAAAAGCTCAAGAGATTATTGGTGCCAACAGATGCAAGATCGACAAGGAAAAAAATTTCCCAAAAAAGCGATAACTAACCGCATTTAATTCCTCCTCATCTATGGCAGCTGCGGCAAATGTCATTTGAGAAACTAGCCATCCTTCTACTATGAACCCCCACCTTTAGACCCCCTTCATCGCACTTATACATCTATTTATGTATATTAAAGGCTTTGTTCTCACAGCCTGAGCCAATAATCGTAGTGAACTGAAACTTGGAGTGTGTATTCTTAGTATGACATATAAGAAAGAGGTTTTCTGGAAGTGGACATGAATAGAACCGATCATTTCGAAAAAATCTAGTTTATTTTAAAATTTTTATTTATATGAAATTTAGTACGCAGATAACTTTTTTTCTGAGTTGATATAGGGAATACCTTTTTTCCATGAAGTGGCCAGGGATCGATACGATGGCTCGGCAAATAAAATTTTATTTTATTAATTTTTTTATTTTAAAAGCCAATATTCATCATTCTCTTATATTGTACATACAGTAACCATATACATATGTGTGTACATATGTATCACAAATGTCACTAGTAGTTAACTTCTTCAGTTAAATAGAAGTGCTAAAGTGCATAGTCATTCTATTACACTCATGTACATATGTATGTGCATAACTACGTAGCTTACAGTGGCATTTTTCAATATCTACATATTTTTAAAACAGCTTACTCATATCCTTAACTTTTATATTTTTCCTCGTCCTCTTTTATATTGTTTGCGTTCTTTTCCATTTTTACAGAAATCCCAAACCCGTTCCCTATCCACTTCCTCTGGCAATTCTCTGCTGGATAGTCGACGTCATCTAATGGAATTGGATGAAGGTGAACTATTCATGGAGTTGATTCGTGATGTGGCCAATGAATTGGACATTGATGTGCTGTGTCATAAAATCCTCGTCAATGTAGGACTGCTTACTCATGCGGATCGTGGCTCATTGTTTTTGGCCAAGGGACCGCCGAATAATAAATACCTGGTTGCGAAGCTCTTCGATGTGACACAAAAGACAGGTGAGTCAAAGTTGCATAATAAGCGAGTATGTCTGTATGTATGTAGGCAATAATAGAAAAAGAACTTTGTTGTTGTTGAGTACGACAGGATTTATCTTTCTCGTATGCAAGTGAAGTGTAATGAAAAGGTACAGAAAATGAAATCGTTTTTCTTTCTTTTGTTTGCCTCCTTTTCATCTTGCCCAATGAATGCAATTATTCCGATGCCTGCCTGCTGCAATTTTTGCAATTGATTATTGGTTGATCTGTCTGTGCCTGCCTACCTGACTGTCATTTGCAGCGCTCAAGGATGCTGTTAGGAAGGCCAAGCTGGAGGAGATACGCATTCCATTCGGTGTGGGCATCGCCGGCATGGTGGCACAAACGAAGGAGATGATCAACATAAAGGAGGCTTACAAGGATGCGCGCTTCAATTGTGAGATTGATTTGAAGACTGGCTACAAAACGAATGCGATATTATCGATGCCAATATGCAATTATGAAGGCGACGTCATAGGTGTGGCGCAAATTATTAACAAAACAAATGGTAAGTCAATGAGAAATATTGAGAATGTTATAAGTGAAGTGGAAAAAATTGGCAATGAAGTTATGAAACGAAAAAAGTCATAGAAGATTCTAATTAATTCTTAGAAAAAGTTCGTAATTGGAAAATTTGTGAAAAAAAGTCAACAAGCTTTTGAGGGTAGGAATTAATACCCCACTGATGCTTCCATAAAACAGCTATTCTTAAGTATAACTGTAACCGCGAGCCGAGCCTGAGAGGATAGAACTATCCACTTATGGGAGCTAGGAACGCCTCGAGTGTCGCCCAATCTCACATGCTCTGAAATCTTATGATCACAGGCCAATGATTTTGAGATATTGCTTATAGGGCAAAGTTGCAACAAACTCTAAGCGACTTAATGTTGGGAACTCTTCGGAGAGCATCTAACTTATCAAACCATCGTGGACTTTGCGTTACCTCAAACCGTCGTCCGATTCACTAAGAGTGCACTAAAGTACCGACCATAAACCTGCCAACTTTAAATGGGGCTGCGGTTGAAAAATTTCTGGGCGGAATTCTTGGCAATAAGCTGAGCTGGAAAACCGACATAGTAAGCAGATATAAGAAGGTCTTCACCGCCTTTAATTTTAAGGTCTGTCATTTGATCTTTATAGGTGGTAGCTGTTTGGTGGCCTGAGTTAAATAAGGCGAAAAACGTTAACCTTTTTAAAAGATCTCAATGAACAGCGATGATTAGCACAAGATCATGAAAAATTAGGTCATGATTTTCAATATTTTACCATTAGACTTTATGGGTTTTAAGACTACAACGCTGCCGGGATAAGAGAACTAGATCAGTGGGATAACCAACAATTGGGATTATCGCCAATCCTTGAAAGATACAGCTTCATACCAAGTAGTACAGATCGTTGCCGCCCATCTTTTGCTAACAAGAATTAAATAACGCTTCGATAGTTCTATCGAAAGAACTGAGATATTTACTGATGGATCGAAAGTTAATGGAAGACTTGGGTGGGGTATCTCACCCAGAGGCCCATCTTTCAGGCAACGCGTTCATAGGTTAATATTTCAGTTAATATGAAGACAAGCAAACTACATTGAAGTTCCCCTTAAGAAGAATATCTCTATTTTCTGCGATGGTCAAGCAGCAATTGAGTTGCTTGGCTCACCTGATTCTTGGTCACAGGGACATTTAGCGGAATAGTAAGGAAGTAGAACTTGTCAGACTACCTACCAGACCATTTTTGTTGCCTATAGGCACGAGGAAGTAAATTCTTCACAACAAAGAGCGCATTGGTATGCCTTATGCTACTTGGAAACTGCTATTCAATGACATTACTTATGAGCAGACCGGATTAAGATGCATCTACACTACTACTTTCATAGTTTCTCTACAAATTTGGCGCATGATTGATATTTTATGGTTGGAATTCAAAGGTATTTTTCCCGTAGAACCTGAGGCTGATAATGTTTCCATTGATTCTATGAGTTGTGTGGTTTATAGAACCTTGAATCACAACCCACATTTTCAAAACAACAGCAATCTTCAGCATCCAAAATCCTGCTCAGCGGGGTGTAGTTATTTTCGCTCATGATAGACCTTTGCTGGTTGTTTGCAGAGACACGAACCATCGTGGCATATTCACTCAAAAATTCCAAAACCCATTCTATCACTATTAACAGGCGATTTGTTAGCATTGCATTGAATTGTATTGCCATGCGGAAGGTAAGGGTTCGAGTCCTGGTTCGAGCACTGCCAACAACTCGACTAAAGTGACCGCACGGGCGCTTGTACCTGTTACAGCATACGTGCGTGTAGTGATTATCTTTTATGTCAGGAGATTTGTCGACTTGCCCCCGTTCTAGTCGAGCCAGCTCTGTGCTGACGTAAATGAAGTAAACGTCATCGATATATAGCTCTAACTTACATACATGTATAATTCTCTGAGAGTTATGGGGACCAATAAGAAGATATCGAATCATCTCGTTTTCAAAAATTAAGAGACATATTATGTACACCAAGAACGTCTTCTCGAATATATGAAAAATCTTTAGGAATAATAATCCCTTCGCAGGTTCCATGGAATTTGACGAACATGATGTTGAAATATTTCGCCGTTACCTAACCTTTTGCGGCATTGGTATACAAAATGCGCAACTTTTTGAGATGTCCGTCCAGGAATATCGCCGTAATCAGATACTCTTAAGCTTGGCGCGCAATATTTTCGAGGAACAAAATAATTTGGAATGTTTAGTGACGAAAATTATGACCGAGGCGCGTGAACTACTGAAATGTGAGAGATGTGCTGTGTTTTTGGTGGATTTGGATTGCTGTGAGGCGGTAAGCAAAAGCGGCATACAATGAAATGGAATATAAGTAAAACTTGACAAAAAAAAATACCTTCTTTCTAATAGAGTCATTTAGAGAAGATTATTGAGAAGCCGAATCAACTGCAAAATCGTCTAAATCGTGCAATTAAGGATGTGGATGATGAGGAAAGGGATGATAAAGTGAGTATGAGGACAATCAATTTATTCTGCTTTACTTTTCTCATATTACCACTTGCTTTTCAGCAGAAGACTCGCAACCGCTTCACAGTTCTTTTCGAACTTGGTGCTTCTAATCAATCAGCCAACATCTCACGACCCTCCGTCAATGATCTCTGCAATTCCACTTTAGCGCAGATAGCACAGTTTGTTGCAACTACCGCACAGACAGTAAATATAAGCGATGTACACGAGTGGGTACAAGAACATAATCAAATACGTACTGAGAACGAGATTGATGCGACTAAGGCGATCTTGTGTATGCCGATTGTTAATGCACAGAAGACGGTGATCGGTGTGGCACAGCTGATCAACAAGGTAGCGGGAGATTAATTATTTTTTTTTTTATTTTTAGAATTTTTATTAAAAATTTATTGATTTAATCTTTTTCTTCATTTTTCATAGAGCACGGGTTTGCCCTTCACCGACTGTGATGTCTCAATTTTCGAAGCTTTCGCTATATTTTGTGGTCTGGGCATTCATAACACGCAGATGTATGAGAATGCCTGTAAATTGATGGCCAAGCAAAAAGTGGCTTTAGAATGTCTGTCTTATCATGCAACCGCGGGTGCGGAGCAGACAATGAAGTTGGTTAATGATAAAATAGAGTCCGCGGAAAAATATGATCTTTATAGTTTTAAGTTTATTGGTAAGTTCGGAAAATTTATTAAATTATTATAATTTTGTATAAAATAATAACTTCCAACAGACTTTAATCTCTGTGATGACGACACTTGTCGCGCCGTCTTGTGCATGTTTCTGCAATGTAATCTAGTCAACCAATTCCAAATACCCTATGAAGTAAGTAAATCTTAAGGCTCACTCTATTCGATACATGAGCTTTTATACCTTGGATATATTTCACTTCGCAGGTCCTTTGCCGTTGGGTGCTGAGTGTACGCAAGAATTACCGTCCTGTTAAATATCACAACTGGCGTCACGCCCTCAATGTGGCACAGACAATGTTCGCTATGTTAAAGACTGGCAAAATGGAACGTTTTATGACTGATTTAGAGATCTTGGGTCTTTTGGTGGCGTGCTTATGTCACGATCTGGATCATCGTGGTACAAATAATGCATTCCAAACGAAAACTGAATCACCGTTGGCTATTCTGTATACGACAAGTACAATGGAACATCATCATTTCGATCAGTGTGTGATGATACTGAATTCGGAGGGCAATAACATATTTCAGGTAAGGTCCGATGCTCATGATGGTGAAAAATAAGCAGAGTACTGACCATACCTTCTCAATGAACACAATTCGTAGAGCCGAAAACGAAGAGATGAGTGTAAATGTCATTCACATCCTAGTAGATAAGGTCACACTAGTTCTTATTTGAAAATTTCCATAACACCAGCATGCCACTTAGGCTTCTCTAGGGCAGAGGTTCTATGTGTTTTTGGCTTCGGAAAGTTAAAATAAGAAAGATTAGTGCTGAGTTAGGTGCTTTTCTCTTGGTTATTATTTTTTCGAATTTAGAAACTTTTCAAAATATTGAAAATTGTATTCTCTAGAGTAAACTATTATCTTAAAAATGTAGTAAAATATTTTTTGATAAGTGGATTAGTACCCTATTTTGGGGTTAGGGACAAAATTAATGTAGACATTCATGTAGTAGCATTTCTATATTATCTTCGCTAGCAACGTTAAAGCGACTCCAATATGCGATAATGTTCAAAGAAGAATTCTTCTGAGACTATTCATAGGCCAATAGTTTATGCTATCTTGGAAAAGGGCCCAAATTAAATAAAATATCTTAGTGAAATCGACCTAACCTATAAAATAACTTATTTCCCCCAAACAACCAGGCACTTTCGCCCGAAGATTATCGTTCTGTTATGAAAACGGTGGAGAATGCTATACTCTCCACCGATCTGGCGATGTACTTTAAGAAGCGCAATGCATTTTTGGAACTCGTCGAAAATGGTGAATTCGATTGGCAGAGTGAAGAGAAGAAGGAATGTGAGTTTTACCGTAAAATTAAACACTCTTAGCACCAAATCCATTTGAAAAATTTGAATTTACATTTTCAGTGCTCTGCGGCATGATGATGACGGCCTGTGATGTGAGTGCCATTGCCAAACCTTGGGAAGTACAACATCGACTGGCCAAATTGGTGGCCGACGAGTTCTTCGATCAAGGTGATCTCGAGAAATTGCAGCTAAATACACAGCCCATCGCCATGATGGATCGGTGAGTTGAAGAGCATAAGTGTTAAGTGTCTACAATATACAAAAAATGAAAATAAAAATCTTCTACAGCGAGCGCAAGGATGAACTGCCCAAAATGCAAGTGGGCTTCATAGACGTTATTTGTTTGCCACTCTATCGGGTACTGTGTGATACCTTCCCTTGGATTACGCCACTCTATGAGGGTACTTTAGAGAATCGACGCAATTGGCAGGATTTGGCTGAGAAGGTGGAAATGGGTTTAACTTGGATAGATCATGATACAATCGATAAACCTGTGGAAGAATTCGCGGGTAGGCGTACTTTCAATTTTACTCATATTTCACAATATTCTAGGTGTATCTTAACTTTTCTTCACCAAAAAAAAAAAAAAAAAAAAAAAAAAAAAATCAGGTTGTGCCGATGAGGAGATTAAAGACATAGAATTCACTGTGACAACACTGAATTGCCACGTTCATGGAGATGATGCCACCGGAACGCCGGAACATCAACGTGGTAGCACACGTTTGAGCATCAAGAAGACAGGTGCACTGGGTAAAGCAGTACGCTCCAAACTGACGAAGACACTCTACAACAGCATGGATGGCGTTAAACAGAAATCATCATTTAAATTACTCGACTCGCATGTGAGCGAAGATTTAGATGATAAAAGTCCGACAAGTCCATCACAACCAATGGTGACTGGACCTGGTCACATTTCAGCTTCGTCCTCTACATCTTCGGCGGGCACTGTCGGCACAGCCGATAAGTCGAAGAAACGCTCCAAGTTGTGTTCGCTGTTGTGACGAAAACCTTCCAATTAGAATTTGGTGACCTCCAACGAGAAACAAAATTCCGCTGGAGGGTCGACCGATGTCTAATTGGAGTAAACTTCAACTAAATTATACCGACATGGTAAATTTATAATAAAAGTAGGCCAATATACCAAAGAACAAAATCAAAGTGAAGAAAAATCAAAATTTTGTGCAAAGTACATACATACATACTCGTATAATGAAAACGTCAAATAAAGTGTAATAAGAGATTTTTGGACGAAATCAAATCATAAAAAACTTTATGAGCTACATTAAAGTAATGAAAAGCCACGAAAAAAATCAAAATAATATTAAATTAAAATCTGAAAATTCAAAAATCAGTACGTTAAATGTGAAAAAATCCAATTGTATATTTTCATGATGTGATTAATAAAATCTAAGATATTATAAAGTAGTGATTAGAAATTATACTAATGCTTACACGATACTCAAAGTATAACGTAGCTTGCAAATATAAAAACCAGACACTTTTTTCGTATTTATTTTTAAGCTCTGTTCGGTGAGAAATGTTAGCAACAATTAGCCTGTCAAAATGTCAAAACTGCGCACTCTCAGTACAAATTGTTACACGCTCAGAGTCATTCAGGGGGGTTACAGAAACCGATTGTTGTCGGAATCAGAAATGAAACCGACAAAATTCGGTTGAAGGCGTTATATTTTCCGATTATATTATTGATATGTAATCGATTTCATTTTCGAAACAGAATTTGTGTCGATTTTAGGTGTTACGGAAACCGATTTATCGGTTTAAATGTCAGCATTAAACCGATCAGTTATTCGTTGACAGAATTGTGTGCATATTTCTTTGCAAGCGGAAATTTAATAAAAATTTAATGTTCAACAGCCTTTAGCATTTCTGCTTGCACTTATATCGACTCTGGCAGCTCCAGCGGATTATTATTATCCCTTACAATTTTGGGCTCTTCTGGATAATTTCGCCAAATCCTTCTATCATCCAAAATGCTATCACTGCCGAAGTCATTTTATTTTTAATAATCACAAATGTGTTAATAACAAAACAAAAATTTAATTGAATTGCTGGCTTTTTTGCTCAAGTGTGATGACAGCTGATTCGAGTATCGGTTTTACTTATCTTCGAAAAAAGCAACATAGAGTCGGTTTCATAACACCATTTAAAACAGATATTGATTTTCAATCCCGATAAATATGCAATTCTGTGTCGGTTTCTATAACACCCCTGATTAGCTCTGTTCAGTGATCTGATGAGCAGTAACATATTTTTTTTACTGAATTTAATTGAACTGCATTCGGTGAGCCAAAAAACGAGTGAAATTAGTAACAAAAGAGCGCAATTTTGACGTTTAGTTTGTAGAGAAAGTTGAAAATTCGTGCTTGGAAAAGTATGAAAAACTGCTAATTTTAAATGCAAATTATATTAAAAATTTAATATGAATTATGTACTAAATTTAAATTGAATGTAATATTCTTAAAATTAATTCAGTTAATTCTAATAATGTCGATTTGATCACACGAAAACTTGGTGACAACGAAGTAAAATCATCGCCCGCGCAAGGAAGTTGAATTTGGTATTGTTGAAGGCATAGAGCTTAGCTTATTTTGAATTTAATTAACTTAAAAGAAGACAGTGTCGACCAAATTAACAGCAAAATATTGCAATGCAAAGCTGTTGCTACAGTCATTGTGAGGATAATGCCTTATAAAGCTGCCGAAAGTGTCGAGGGCGCACAAAACGAAAGGAAAAATAAGGTTTTTTCAAATATGCTTCAATTTTATTCAAACAAATCGAAGTAAGTTCTCTACTTGCTGGCTTACACGGAAAAATACTTCCCAACTCAATTTCGTACCAACCATGCAACTTGGAAATGTAAATAAAAATTTTAAAGCCAGTTTTACAAAAATCTTTGTCCTTTCCGTGTACTATCGGAAAACGATATTGGCATCTTTATAGCTTGGTAGATATGTATGAAGGATGAAAAAATTTTATCATTATCGAAATATGAAAAAAAAAATTTTTTTTGAACCCCATTCAATAAATTAAAAATACCATAAAATTACTAATTTTATTAAAGAATTTTTGAAAATACTTAAAAGCCGAAAACAACTGTATAAATGAACGCATTCAAATGCAACATCCTAAATGAACAGCTGTATACTACAACATTTCCACGGCATGATAATTACGTTGTTCGCTCTCTTAGGCATAATTCACACTCTTAATTTGCGGTTGAATTTTTGAGAGCGAATTACGCCAAAAGTGGGTAAATCATTTACACTTACCTTGGGAATAACAACCGCAAAATCGTTGTTTTCCCTAATTTTGATAGGAAATTTTTCGAAGAGAGCTGGCAAATTACAGCAAAAAAGACTAAAGGCATATCAGAAAACACTTAAACGCGCATTCAAAACTAAAAGCAATATTTGTATATTACAAATGAAAAAGAAAAATGATGAAGAAAAAGAATTAGAAATATTAAAGAAACTGTAATGTCAAGGCGGATATTAAAATTGTTAAAATTATAAGCAAAGCAAGTTAGTATAATTTTGATTGAATGGCACTTATGTACATCACAAATTCAAATCAAAATTTCATTAAATTTCACTAAACTATTTCATTTTCCCTGTTTTTTTAAATCGAACAAAAAAAATATACAAATTACCATTCGAAACAGAAAATTGTCAAAATGCGTGCCCTGTGAATGGGGTAATTTAGGTTCGTAATTGAGAGGACGAACAATGTAATATGGCATTTCCACGACAGCCCAATTACGTGTTTCACTCTCTCAAGTACGAATGCGAATTACCCCATTCACACGGCACGCAATTTGACGGTTTTCGGTTTCGCTTATTCGTTCCATTTGAAAACGCATGGAAAATTACAGAGTTTAGTAGAAGTTAACAAAATATTGATTTTAATTGGTAATGTAAGTCCAGTTTCTTTAATAACTTCTAATTTTTTTATTCTTTAATGCACAAATAGTCTTTGGTTTCAAATCAATGTTTGTGGGATAGTGTCCTCTTTTATGATTTTCCTCCTACTGGTTTCGAGGAAATTCCGAATAGAATTAGAGAAGGCATCGATTTGGTCGTAATTCGCATGGCAATTGAGAACGAATTAACGACTTTTACTGTAATTCGCTCACGGAAATTTGTATGGCGAATTAAATAATTCGGCATGTTTTGGCATGGAGTGCGAATTACGATTGAGAGAGCGAAAGAAGTAATAAGGCTGTCGTGGAAATGCCGTATAAATCACAATAGCGTGGAAAAGCCTTATTCTATAGCTTGTTGGATAATTTTTACTGTATGCTTTTCAGTGAAAAATCAGTCTTTGGGAGAATTAAATATTTTACTCTCTCTGAATTTTATTACTGGCGAATTTTTAATGACATTTCCCAACGTATAGAGCTAATATGTTACCTCTTACTGTTATCTATTTTCAGAACAGAGTTGCATATGTACGCCTAAATATATATAACTTAAATAACTGCTTTTGGTCTATAGAATAGGTTTTAATTTTCATTTTTGTCTCAATCAATATCCTTTTATTGTCAGTTTCATCTAAAGTTTCAAGTTTCGTTTAAATTGGCTCGAAAATATTAACATTCAACGCAGAAGGTAGAATAGTAGAAAATGGAATAGTAGCATAGTGAATGTCATCCCAGTGATGATTTTGAGAGTTCAAAAACTTTGCAATACTCACTCTAGAGTATTTGAAGTGATAACCGGTATTTTAGAGTTGCTGATGACGAGCTCAGAGCTTGATTATATTTCCTCTAATTGATTGATTATTGATGATGTCCTCGATTGATTTAATATTAAGTTACATATAGTTATGTACAAATTGTTAAAAGTCATTAATAAACTGAATTAGAAAAAAAAAGATAACTAAGTTTCCTAAAAACACTTATGTAAGTAAAATATTTCAGTGAAAACTAAGTTTTGTATAAATGTTATTTAGTGTAATCTCATTTGTGTATGACAAAAGACAAGTCAAACTATAAATTATTGTGTGTATTTTTTCAACAAATTGTAAACTAGTCAATATTTTCTTAAAAGCACAATAATAATTAAATTATCGCAGCATAATTGCTTTAAGAGTGTGAGTATTTATTCTAGTCGCATCGTATGATAGAAGACACAAATCAAATTAAATTAAATTTATAAACTATATGTATTAATATGTATAAGTATTGATAAAACGAAAATTTAGAGAAGTGCAAGAAAATGCTTAAATAAATTTACTCACAAAAAGCAGCACAAAATACTAATTAATTAGTGAAATATTACTTTATAAAGTTAGATGAATGCAAAGCGAAAATATATTAAATATATCTATATATACACATATATATATTTATGAATGTTTAATAAAATTCTGTATGTAAAATTTGGTAGCGCACACTTTTAAGCTGGCAACGGCGGCAAACTACTATAATATTATAGCAATAAAAAAAACTCATAAGGTAAGCATGATATTTGTGGCATCTTAAAGACAACTGGGATATATGCATGTTAATGTGAACTAAAGAAAAATATACATTAAAAATATTTGTGAAACTGATACGCTATATTTTTTGCATATGTATGTATATAATATGTATGCACTGTAATTTAAAGCATTAAGAGAATAAAATAATTTTACAAAAACATAAATGTGAGCACAAAATTTATGTTTTGCTGCATATTAAAAAAAAATGTCATAGTTTTAATTCCAAACTATTTATTAGCATTCGCTAAAACTCCACAAAATGATAAGAAAATACATACATAAATATATAAATAATGATGGTTAGTAGTGTTACAGCAAAGCACTTTAAAGCTACAATGTTATAGATTATAGTCTATAGAAAGTAGTTTAGAGCAAAATTCAAAATAAAATACAATAAATTAAAAAAAAAAAAAACTAAGCTGTCGCAGAACTTGTTCTCACAAACGGCGAACTTGCTTACTAGAAACAATTTTACAAAAATTTCGAGAGCAAAACTCAGCAAAGGAATAAAAGTTTGTAATCAAAAACCGCATAAAAATGTTGCGATTAAATCAAAAAGAAAAAGAAAAAACACAATTTATTAAATGTGCATGTCAATTTTTAATTTAAGGCATAATTTACACAAACAAAAAATATATATTAAATCTGCAAGAGCAAAAGCAAAAATAAAATAAAAACCCATAATCAGCGAATGAGAGCATATAAAACTAAGTTGATAACTACACGTATGCATAAGTTTTTAAGTATTGAAACGTAGTAATTTGTGCAAGAGAAATATTTGATAATGCGAAATTGAGAAACTAAAATTAAAAGTCGAAGGCAGAGTAAACTGAAATGAAATAGAGAGAAAATAAAAGAAAAAAATAATAATTATTTACAATTATGCACTGAATTGACATACACAAGTATACTGCAGCGAAAAATTATATTATGTATGATAATCTCAATCTAATCTTTTTATATAAGGTGTTGTAAATTTGTTCATTCAAAATCACGCAACGTTGATAAGTAACTATTTATTGTTTCTTTATAGGCGTACTTGATTGTTTTATTTTGTCTGCAATTGTACGAATTGAATATAAAAAAAAAAACTAATTACAAATAAATCTAAAATATTTTCATAATAATTTCAAGGCAAGACATTTTCCGAAATCTCTTTATTTCCCCCCAAATAAATATGTATGCACGTGTAAATTTTATGAAATATTTCTCTAAAGCGTTTTTCGTTATTTAATGACGAAATTCAATAAACAATTTCAAGCTTAGTATTCTAGAAAAAAATGATTGTAAATAAAGATGAACGCTAATACGTATTTGATGTACAAATATCTTTCCATTATTATTTTTTTGTCCAACAGTTAGTCCAGAACCAACGACAATTATAAATATTTACATTGAAATCATCTGCGAAGTTATGCTACTTTATTTACTTGTTTTAGGAGAAATATGATGTTATAATTTAAAACAAAATCTTTTGAAGATAAGTTTAAATTCATCTTTACTTCGACAATTAATTGAGATTTATTTTCAGTTTCACTTCTCAAATCAAAATTAATACAGTTTCCTTAAGCAAAACTTTTGAAATCGAATTAAATATAGAAGACACTTGGTAAAAACATACAAACCTGTGGTTTTATTTACGCAAGGGATAGCACAATATGCGCATAATAAATGGATAAACGAACTCTAATTATATATTATGCAGACAAATAAATATTTTAATTTCACTTTCAATATTTTCAGTTTTATTTGTTTTTAGCTCTTTAATTAACATTATCAATTTTCGTAGTAAATACATTCATATCTACATATATATGTACGCTTGACTACTAACGCTTAAATATTAAGTTTTTTCTCATTTAGTTTGTTCAATTTTAAACTGTGTCTTACATACCCGCTACATATTAGAATGGGTTTCTCTTCCTTCATTAGCCGACTTATGATATTGAGCTTACAGCTAGCAGAGCAGTGTATAATAATGCCTTTGCAGAAATAATTAATTTACACAACTTTCACTATTTTCATGCACTAATGAGTTTGTTTAGGACGTTTTGGATTTTTCGTGTCCGTCAACATCCTTGACATATTTACCTATTTAAACTTTTGATTTTTTTGTGGTTATCTCGGGTATATAAATTCAGTAAAAATCATATAAATAGGGCATAAAATGCAATATTTGCTTAATTCAATTTATATATGTATAAATTCAATGCTACTCGTACAATATTCATAACTATTTTTATAGTTTAGTGGGTTAATTTTAAACGCTTACATCTTTTGTTTTCTTACGGCGTTTTTTTTATACCTAGGTCAATTGTTGTTATTTCGCATTTGCAGGTTACACTAGCTCAATTTTATTAGTTATACACAATTACAGTTAGGTGTAACTAAAAACATTAAACTAAAGTTGGCTTTCATACTAATCCAATACAGCTTAGAAAATGCTATAACATATTATAATTATCATTATGTGAAGAACGGAGCGAATCTTTTTCGTGTAACAAATCGTGTTCACAGTTCATTTCACATGAAGAACTCTTCGGTCGAATGGGAAAGCGGAAGTCACGTTCGTCCTGGACGATCTAACACAGATATCTCTATAACACGTAAACCACGGTAGGTTGGGTCGATGACTTGCAAACCTTTTGGATTGTATATGCGCTCATTTTGGGAAGCAATGAATTTGGATATTTTCCGTAGCGTCTAAATGAAATAATGCAGATATGTGTATAAATAAAAAAAAATAAAATCAAAACAAAAGGAAATTACCTTTTCATAGTGCGTTTCGGAACACATGTACACTAGATACGCCGTAATGCAACCAATACAACCCTCACAATATGTACTGCAAGAGCCTTTCTCAGCCTCCGCAAAAAATTCATTCAATCTATTGATGGTCGACTCGAAAACCTGTCGCTCAACCTAAATACATATGTTTGTGTATATATAACAAATGGCATGTAATATGAAAACTATAATCTTTCTTGCATTTAACTAGCAAGGTCGTGAACTGCTTACTCACCAGGCCTTCCAATTCGCTGGGGAGTCGAGTGTGGAATTTGACCGAGGTGCCTTCGCTATAATCGCGTTGTATGAACACCTTGTTGGAGCCGCCCTGTAGCGAGGTTAAACCTTGCGACATCTTCTTTTTTCTGTAATATAATAATAACATTATTAATTGCATACATTTAACATTTCTATCATGTATAAAACGTAAATAAAAGCATTCAACAGCACTTTGACGGGCTCATCTTTTTATTGCTGGTTTGTGGGAAATCCAAAACTATTGGTCGATGCAGAGACATTTATTTTCCATCAATGCAATGCGATATGAATAAAAACTATAAATTTTGATTGAGTACACACCTATTGCTGTTGTACAATTAAAAGACGAGTTCAAATCACTTTTGGCTTTACAAAATTTCACAAATTTCCATAAAAATATATGCAAGCCTTAACTTTTTCTCTAAATATTTCTACACTTTCTTACTGAATGCTTCTTCTTTAATTTTTGAACTGTCAATCTCCACACAAAGAAAGGCGGAGAACAATGCGTGAAAGAGATAGTTGGTATGTCGTATAAATGCATTCAATTCGTACTGTACATTTCGATTGCATTGGATCAGCTGTTTTGCGGTTTGTGGCTACACTAAATACCAACAATAAAAACATTTCCATTTGATTATGATTTAAAATATTATTTAAGAAATTGGAAAAATAATTTCATATTATGAATTGAGTACCGAAATCATTAATTTAATACGGTTTTTTATTCGCAGACCTAAGTTGTGCATTCGTTCACGGTCTCTATTGATCATTATAACAAATAGCGAAGTTGTTAAAAGTGTGTAGTACCATCGCAAAGATTCGTTTGGAGAAGGGGCTCGGCTCAAAAATGCTTAAGCGGTTATAGACCACCAATTATATAATATATGCATATTTATGTATAAAGAATGGACGATCATACGTCACATTGCAGTAGAACAGTCTTCATAAGATAAAATATTTAAATCACTATTATTAAAAAAAAAAGAAAATTAAAAAAAATATGTATAGTTGCATGTACAAATATGTATATTTGTCTACTATATACATCAAAAAGTGAAAAAGTCTAGATATACATATACAAAAATATGTAACAAAATTTTGAGGTAAATTAAAATTTTTAAGGTAAATTACTATTTTGTTACAAACAAAAATTAGTTTTAAATTTGAGTTTTGAAATGAACGATTTAATATAATTTTCCACCAGAAAGCAACAAAAAAAAAATAAATAAAAACTGATTAAACCCCTAGAAGATAACGTTTTGCTTCAGATAAAGCGCATCAGCTTTTTTTAGACATTTATTTAATTTGCTCCTCCTCCAAATCGTAGTTTTGCCTCTTGATGTTTTTCCAAAAAGTGAAGGGACCTACGGTTTATACCTAGCCGCCTCCGAACGGCTGATGGTTTTTTATGAGGCTTTAATTCACATCCGAAATACGCTCGGAGGGGTTGATATTCCCTGCCGAGGGGCGACCGCAATTAGAAAATTTAATTTTTCATTTAAATACATTTTCAATAACTTTTTGGATGTTAGTGACCTTGGGACTTGAACCCGAGTCTTTCGAATATCAGTACGCACTGCTAAATATTTTATTTGTCTTGCCTGATATTGCAAAAATTGTAAACAAAATAAATAATAAAAGCTCGCATTCAACTCATTTGATCACAGTGAAAATCAAAAGTTTGTATTTTTTCTTCTCTTTCAATCTTCTCCATACAGCAACCGTTGAGTTGGTATTTTAAAACAATTTAAATTCTTTAAAATAATTCGTGTCACATCTAACGAATCGCATTTGCAAAAGAAAGTGCATAAATATTTATAATTACAGAATCATCATAGCACAGCACAGCAATCGTCGCGCTATCATCACAGAGTCCGTGTCCGAGTCCGTTCAATTGCGTGCTCACCTAGCAATTACTGGTGGGCAATTTCGAAGCAGTCGTAATAAAAATCTATATGCCCAGCCAAATGGGCAGCTGTGTATACGAGTAGTTCGTATGCACTACATATGCACATATGGCTGAATACATATATATTTATATTAACAACAAGTGGAAAAATTATTAATGGAAACTGCTGCAGACTTTATTACATGCAAGTCTTTTAAAATAAGTACATAAATGTAAAATTATTTTCTTTTCTTTTTTTATATATGTATGTACATACTTATATATATTCGCAAGTGCATCCGGTTGTTACATGATGGCGCCAGGCAGTGTCCTCGTCTGCTGTAAAATATGTTCCTGTATCTGAGTGCGTTTATAATGGAAAGTAGAAATAGAATAACTTCTGTATGTAATCGTATTCTTGGTGTGGTGGAGTTTCTTTTCGATAATACTAGAGAACATAAAAGTGGTCGCCATTCAAGAACAGAACTGACCTACAGACCAACCCATACATCCATAAGCCCGCCGATGGAATTACACACACTTACATATGCCTGGATTACTATACCCTTCATTAGTTAGGTCTTGAAGATTAGTGGCAGGTATTCTTTTGACTTGTTTACTATGCGAGTTGGTAACCTTAACTGGAATCCATTTTTGTAGATAAGATGTAATCATGGTTTGTAACTCGGTTGTTATTTCTCTTTAGGGATCAGCGCTATCTTTTGATAAACACATTTGAGGGCCACTTCCTCCTCCTTTCGTCTATGATGAATCTGTTGAGTCTTGTTGAACGCCAAGTATGATCATTGCAGACGTATGTAAATATAAATTATCGTTCGAAGTATGTATGAGAGGTTATGTAAAACTGCTAGAGGTGTCTTCGGTCATGCCAAAATCTTTATACCTTTCATTACCATATAAAATCTAATGCATTTCTCATATTTGAAAAATTGGTTGGAGAGGATTAAGTTTTCTGATTTCGATCATTTTCGGAGGCAATGCGGCCACAGTGGCCGAGTGGTTAGTATTGCGTACTGCCATTCGGAAGGCTCAGGTTCAACCCCTGGTGCAACCAACATTCAAAATTTATAGAAATTTAATTTAAATAAAAAATAAAGTTAAATTTTCTAATTGCGGTCGCCCCTCGGCAGGGAATGTCAACTTCTCCGAGTGTAGTTCTGACATGAAACAAAGCTGTACATAAAAAAAAACATCAGCCTTTCGGAGACGGCTTAATATAAACTGTACCATTTGTTGAAAAAAAAAACCCACGACGCAACACTACAAATCGGAGGAGGAGCTCGGCCGAAAATCGCTCTAGCGATTACAAAGTGCCAATTGTATAATGTTTATTTGTATACACGTGTGTAGACGTTGACGCAGCTTTGAACAATGCCTCATGCCTAAAAATAAGTACTTATCTGGGTGAAATATGTTTTAGCCCACTGATTTCGAAAATTTTTATCATCAATATCTTATCCATATTAATACAAGTTCGGAATATCGAATTTCAGGTTCACAGGCTCTCTATATGCTTCAGTGGAGTGATCTGGTCAGTTTACTTTAAATACCTATAACTCAAAACTGAGAGACTAGTTTCTGTTCAAGCAGTATATAGTTGGACCGTTGGAAAATGGATCGGTATACATTTTGTTGGGTCTATCTCTTCTCCTTCTGGTACTTACATAATTTGGACCAAAGTTAATACAGCGTTTCATGTACATGAAGGGTATAAAAATAATCTGAGCCAGAAATATGTAGGCTTTTTTAATTCAGTGGAAAATTTCAGATATTTATGTAAATCGTCCTTGCATCAAAAGTTAATAGAATTTTTTTTGAATATTTTAACTAACAGTAGACCTAAAAACTAGACCAAGAAAGTTTTTCTAATATCAACGACTAGCCACATTCGTTCGCCAAAATTAATTTGTCAACAGAAGGTCAACCATATCCTTATGTTTAAAGGTCGCCTACCTAAAGAAACTAATTAAAAACCCTATGTGATGTAAGTGATTGTAATTTTAAATTAACTTTATTTGAAAAATTTCGAAGAATAAGAAATGGATTGAAAATGCTTGGGCTTAATGAGAAAAATACGGTTGATTTGGTTCTAAATTTGTTTTTATTCTTCAACGCAATCGTTATTAAGAGCCAACCAATCGTTCCAGAGCCGCCTTAACATTTCAATACCGTTTTTGTAGAACGATTTCTCTTTTGCTTCTTCTTTACCATATTCACCGTTGAAATTATTTACACCACAACCATGCCGAAGTACCAGCTAAACAATTGCTGCCCACTAAGATCAGGCACGTTTTAATACAACGAGAAATCATCTATTGTCACACAAAATCTGGTTTGATAAGTTTAAAAATCGCTTAGAATCATCAGAACGTTCTTTACTCTGACATATTTGAAGTCATCAAACCAACATTTTTTTGTTGTTTCTGATAGAATAGAGTTCTTTTAAAATTTTTCAAGCCACTTACAACGCAATATATAATATCACAACATTGTTGTTAGAATAACATTAAACGGTAAGATTTTTTTTTGAAGCTTAGTACTAATTGAAAAGGTTTCATATTTCATTGTGGAACTTTGGCTTTTTCAATCAATAATTTGTAATAATTGGGTTCCAAGCCAAAATGCTCAAACACGGTCCACCAACATGGCCAACAATACAAGATTAAATTAATTTTGGCGGCATAGAATTTTAGTTGCAACCAATTGATGGACAAAATTATATACGTGGAGTTGTCTCACCTGTGCATATTAACTGTAATCATACAACAAATAACTTCATATGATCAAATTGGTGGTATGTACACTTATGTATGTATGCTAGCAGTGTCCAGCATTGAGGCGATGTGTGATTGAAGGCGATTGGGGTAATTTAAAAAAAAAAGCCGAAAACTTTCGCACAAATCGCTTTGATCAGCTACCAATCGAAAGTGTAGTGATTAAAATAGTTAAAAAAACAAACGAAAAGAGTAAATACATATATTACTACCATACTGTATACAAACTCTCATATGTACGAGGGAAATAACAAAAGTTTGGTTAGTTGACATTTTTCAATTTGTTTTTGTTAAAAATCCAAAAAAACCAAATCCTTTGCAATTACTTTATTAGTTTTCCCTTAAAGGTTTAGAATGATCGACTAAGAAAGGGGACGAAAAAACGCAAGATAGCTGAGGATAGGTCAGACAAAACTCCACCACTAACGGAAACAGAAAAGGCTCTCTACGGGTTTCGACGTAATTTACAGAAAAACAAATATTCAGTAAATGGAAAATTGCAAAACAGAACGATTGCACTGTATTTAAATACTATTTAAAAGTGGTTCCGAAGATTCCAGGCCGGGCAATATTCCGTAGATGACGAGCCACCGTAAGGTCGACCAAAATCTTCCACTGATGACGTCACTATGGCT